ATATATTAAAGTATTAAATGAACAGACATTTTTCAAAGACTATCGGCAAATGTATTAAAGTATTAAATGTAAGACCCCAAAGTATGAAACCAGTAGAAGAAAACATAGGGAAAACACTTAAGGACATTGGTCTGGGCAAAGATTTTATGAAAAAGACCTCAAAAACACAGGCAATAAAAGCAAAAACAGACAAATGAGATTATATCAAATTAAATAGCTTCTGTACAGCAATGGAAACAATCAACAAAGTGAAGAGACAACCTGAAGAATGGGAGAAAATATTTGCAAAGTATTCATCTGACAAGGGATTAATATCCAGAGTATAGAAGGAAGTCACAAAACTCAACAGCAAAACATTCCATATAATCCCATTTAACAATGGGCAAACGAGCTGAATAGACACCTCTCAAAAGAAGACACACAAATGGCCAACAGGTATTTGAAAAAATGCTTGGCATCACTAATCATCAAGGAAATGCAAATCAATACCACAATGAGATATCATCTCACCCTGGTTAAAATGGCTATTATCAAAAAGACAAAAAATATGAAATGCTGGCTAGGAAGGAAAGGAATAATTGTCAAAGAGATTTTTCCACTTCCATGCTCATTGCGCTCTATTCACAATAGCCGAGGTATGGAATCAACCTGTGTCCATCAACAGATGAATGGATAAAGAAAATGTGATATGGAATAAAATAAAATATGATTTGGCCATAAAAAATGAAATTCTGTCATTTGCAGCAAGATGGATGAGCTTGGAGGACATTATGTTAAGTGAAATAAGCCAGGCACAAAAAGATAAATACCACATGTTCTCTCTCATATATAGAAGCTAAAAAAAGTTGAGCTCATGGAAGTAGAGAGTAGAATAGTGGTTAGTAGAAGCACGAACAGTAGTGGGGAGGAGACAGCCAAAGGTTGGTTAATGTATACAAAAGTACAGCTAGATAGGAGAAATAAGTTTTCTTGTTCTATAGCACTATGGCATGACTAAGTTAACAATTTATTGTATATTTTGAAATAGCTGGAAGGGTGGAGTTTAAATGTTCCCACATAAAGAAATGATAAATGTGAGGTGGTGGTTATTTTAATTACTCTGATTTGATCACTATACATTGTATACATGTATCAAAATATCACACCATACCCCATATTTACAATTATTATATGTCTATTAAAAATAATAATAAAAGCCAAAAAAGAGAAAATATACTCAAAAAATTTTTTATCCTTTAACAGAAAATATATTTAATTCATCTATATATTATACCATTTGTTATAATTTTCTCACTTAAAGAATAACTTTCTGTCAACAAAAGACATTCATTGGAGATAAATTAAAAATATACATAATCAAAATAAAGACAATAAAAATGACCCATTTCCTTCACCAACTAATATTATGGTTTACCTCCAATGGTTTGTCTTTGCAGATATATATGGTTCATATTTTGAACACTAATGGTTCAAAACATTCCAATGGATCATGAAGTTGTCCCACATATTGTCAGTATGACTTTGATCAAGGTGATTAACCTCTATGTGATTCAGTTTTTTATCCGTAAAATGCGGATAATAAGATCTTCCTATCCAGATTTTGTCTATTATATATCTTAAAGTACTGTATATAAAGCACTTAACAAAGTGCCTGGCACGTAGCAAGCGAACACTACATAGTCTGTGTATATTTTAAAAATGAAGCAAATTGCAAAATTTATATATCTTAATTATAAGTTACCTCAATTTCAGAAATATTAAAGGGTAAAAATATGTATCTTGGTTGGAGAAACAAGAGAATTCCTTTTGGGTTGAGAGAATTTACACATTTGCCTCTTTAACAAGATTTTCTGAAACCAAAGTAACTTTCCAGAATCTATAGATGTTATATTATACTAATGGAATCTTCTAAATCCAGTGGCTGGCTGAGCAGTGAGATTCCAATTTGCTCAGGACTTGCTACTGTCATTCCCATGGAGACAAATTTATTAGTACTTTGAAATTCTGTTTAAGCACCACAAATTTTATTTTAGCTCACTATTTTTTTTTTTTTTTTGAGACAGAATCTTGCTCTGTCGTCCTGGCCAGAGTGCAGTGGCATCATCTCATCATAGCTCACTGCACCCTCCAACTCCTAGCCTCAAGCGATCCTCCTGCCTCAGCCTCCCCAAATGCTAGGATTACAGGCATGAGCCACTGTGCCTGGCCAGGTCATTATCATTTAAGAAACACATTTCCTATTAAATTTTCAAGATTTATCTAAAAATCACTAGATTGCTATTTTTCAATAGATTTCTTAAAACTTTTAATTTAGAAATAATTATGGATTTACTGGAAGTTCAAAAATAGCACAGAGGGATCCTGTGTGTCCCTCACCCAGTTTCCCCTAATGGCAATGTTTTACGTAACTACAGTACAATAGGAAAACAAGGAAATTAACATTGGTACAATGTGTATGTATAATTCTATCTGTGATGGTAACTACACACGTAGCTCTGTGTAATTATCACCATAATCAGGATACAGAACTGTTCTGTCACCATAATTATCTCCTTTGTGCTACCCCTTTAATTGTCATAGCAGCTCCCTTGCCCTCCCGCATCCCTAACCCCTGACAATTACTATCTGCTCTCCACCTCTATAATTTTGAGATTTCAAGAAGGTTATATAAATGGTATCATACAGTATACCCTTTGGAGAGTGTCTTTTTCACTGAACATAATGACCTTGAGGTCTATCCATATTGTTGCATATTATCAGTTGTTTATTCCTTTTTATTGCTGAGTAATATTCCATGGAATGGATATACCACAGTTTGCTTAATCATTCATCCTTTGCTCCAGGTTTTGCCTATTACAAATAAAGCTGCTATTAACATTTGTACAGGTTTTTAATGTAGACATAAGTTTTCACGTATTTGGGATAAATGCCCAGAAGAGCAATTGTTGGGTTGTATGGTAGTTGCATGGTTAGTTTTTTTAAGAAACTGCCAAATGGTTATCCAACAGTGGCTGTATACCTCTGTGTCATTTTACATTCCTACCAGCAATGTGTGCGTGATCTAGTTTCTGTCAGTTCTTGCCAGCATTTTATTTTGTCCCTAGTTTTTGTTTTATTAATAGTTATTCTTACAGGTGTGTAGTGATATCTTGTGGTTTTAATTTGTATTTCCTAATGGCTAATAAAGTTGCGTATCTTTTCATGTGCTTATTCACCATCTATATATCCTCTTCAGTGAAATGTCTCTTCATGCCTTTTGCCCATTTTGTAATTGGATTGTTGTTGTTGTTATTGTTGTTTTACTGTTGAGTTTTACTATTGAGTTTTTGTACTTCATATATTCTAGATACCAGTCCTTTGTCAGATATGTGGTTTGCAAATATTTGTATAGAAATACAATTTATTTTCGCATTTTTATTTCATATCCTGTGACTTTGCTGAACCTGCTTCACCGGGTTTCTAGGTGTTCCTTAATCCAGTCAAGTTGATACTGAAAATTAAGTCCACAAATCCATCCCTTGTTAATTTGGCACCCCTATGAACCTCCCTAAACCATACTTAATTTCCAAATAAAGATGATAACAAGGTGATAGTTCTGCCTAACAATGATGCAACTATCTTGTTATTGTGATTTTGGGGATTTTAGGCATTAGGGATTTTAGACCATAGGGATTTTGACTTTTCAGAATTTCAACATTCTGGATTATGGCATTCAGGATTGTGTCTTTTGAGATTTTTGATGCAAATCGGGCTTGACCAGACAATCACCTTCTGCTATGGGATCCCTGGAGTGCTCCTTCCCACATTCCCACCAGTTTAGTGACTGCTCCTAGGGAATTCCCTGGGCCTCATTCCTCTCCAGACGAAGAGCAAGAATCAAATGTTTCTCACTTTATTTGGGTCAAGGTTGGAAACTTCCTTTGCTCATACTGGGCACTTTTCTATTCTTTTATCATTATTTTCACCAGTTATTATCCCCTTTCTCAGCAGAGTGCCAGTGGCAGAGTTTCTGTTTGTTCACTGGAAAAGTATATCAAAAAGTGAACAAGACCAAATCAAGATTTCCTATCAGGAAATCTCTGCTGGGATTTGTCCGTAACTCCTTAAACCCAATGGCCTCTGCTGCTGAGGAAGCTTCAAGTCTCAGCATTTGGCACCAGCATTCCTGCTGATGTTTGCAATGGCTTCCACCAGGGACTTGTGGACCTTCCTCTCTAACATGGGCTCAGTGGTTCCAGATTATTTTCCCTTTTACATGCCTCTTTAGTAATCGAGGTCATCAGTAACCTGAAACTCTCTGGCTGTTAAGGCAATGGGCAGAGGTTGCTGTAGGGAAGAGGTGTGGGATCACATAGTGCTACCAGAAGAGAGCTGGAATTTGTGGGTGAGGGTGGTGGTGTTGAAGACAAAGCAAATGTGGGTGAAGCCATAGGAAGGAACAACAGGGGTTGACAATACAGACTCACCTGCCTCATTTTACCTGGAACAGAGAGCTGACTCTCCAAGGTAGGCATAGGTCAGAAGATGACTCTATATCCCACCATCGTATCACCAGGTCTCAGCCCACCAATGCCTGTTTACTCTATGGTTTGGAGATTGAAATAAAAGAAAAATTTCCAAACCTCTTAAATTTTTTGCATTTATTTTTGAGTTGAGACAATCTTCAGAACTTATTCATCTTATTTATACATTCACCTGTGAGTGTATAAGCCTCCTTGGAAGTAGATTTACTGTAGGCCCTCGATCGCCTGGGAACTGAGCCTCCAGTTATCTTCTCCTTGGACTTGCTGAGTCACCTGCCTTTGAGCTGCTGAGAGGTCTGAGTGGGGATGCATGAGGGGACATTCCCTGCTGGCGCAGAGGGACAGCTCAACACCACTATGTTCTCTCCTTATGATCACACACCAAGATACGTGTGTGTTTCTGCATGTGTTTTGCAGGTAGGGATGACAGAGAGTAACATCTTTGTTAAGTGGGCATATGAGGCAGGTGAACAAGCATCCACAAATATTGACCTTTCACAAAACGTGATCATCTGGTATATTTATTTATGGAAATAGATTCCGTTCAATTGAGCACATGTGCACGGTACTCAGGGTTCACTTAATGATGCTTCTCCTCGGTCCTGTGGGGAATACGGGGAATAGGAGGGCAAATGCTCCTCACCTGTTTTCAGGAAAGAAGGCAACCACAGGGAAGGTAGCCTGAGGTCGGTGGGAAATGCGCAAAAGACACAGCGGTCATTTGGCTCCAGCAAGGGGAGAGCTCCAGGAGGGCCAGCTCACGTGGCAAGGTTTGGGGCGAGGCGGGTCCAGGCAAGACTCTGGAGTTGGTAGGTTATGGCGAGGTGAGGGAGGAGAGTCCGTGGGCTGCGACGCAGAACACTAGGCGCGGAAGACTGACGTGACTGTCGGTTGATGCGTGGGAGTCACATTCACAACGTCAGCCCGGTCTGACCTCAGCTAAGTCCTCAGACCGGCTCCTGCAGAGCAGCACCAGGAGCAGGAGCGCGCTCCCCAGCAGGACGGCGACGCGGAGCCTCCAGCCTGTCCCGTGGGACTTCTGCCACCCCCACAGCCCGGCCAGCAGCCAGGCCACCCAGGGCCGCCGCATGCGGGCCGCCACCTGCTCCGCCACCCTCCGCAGCCGCTCCTCGGGGCACGCCCAGCGCAGGGCCTGCGCCAGGCCGTACACCTCGTTGGTGTAGTGGGCGCCCCCGTTCTCCCTGACCAGGGCCCCCACCAGCCGCAGCAGCTCCTCCGCCTGCGCCTCCTGCTCCGGGCCGGCGGCTCGGTTGTCGAAGGCACAGACGCGGCCCCCGCACGTGGCCACCAGCTCCCGCAGCGCGCGGTTCTCCGTGGCGCGCACGTACTCCTGCAGAGAGCCCCCGGCCAGGTCCTCCTTCCTGGTGAAGACGACGACCGTGCGCTGCAGGACGCCGTCCCCGAACATCGCCCTCACCGTCCTCACAGCCTGCTGGTCCTGGGCGGTGAACCGGCCCAGCGGGGTCACCAGCAGCAGCGCGTGCGGCCCGGGGGCCGAGAGCAGGTAGCAGCGGCCTCTCTCCTCGCGCCCCGGCTCTGCCTCGGGCCTTTCGGAGCTGAAAAGGTCCGGAGTGTCCACGACTTCCACGCGCCACTTGTCCCACCTCCGGCTGCCGACGGCGCAGGCTCTGGTCACAGACGTGGCTCCGAGCCTGGAGAGGAACCGTCTCTGGCCCAGGATGCTGTTCCCGGTGGCGCTCTTCCCCGCCCCTGTCCTCCCCACCAGGACGAGCCTCAGCGCGGGCTCCGGCGGCGCCTGGCTGTCCTCCGCTGACCCTGTGGGACAAATTGTTAGTAAGCTTCCGAATCTTAAACCGACGTGTCTTGGGTGAAGAGATCTGGATGCCCTTTGAACCAAGGAGAATAGAGCCTTTGACTTTCGGCTTTTTCAATCAAACTTACGAGGGGATCTCACTAGAGATTTGGAGCTCCCGGTGATCCTTACCCATCTGTTCCTTTCGTCGTTGGCTTCCCCACCTGCACCTGTCGATACTCCCACACCGGGTGAACGTTTCTCTAGAGGCCCTTTCCTCACCTGACACTAGCTCTCTCTGGTCGTCTGTACACATGCAGGTTTCACAGGGCATGTGTCCGCCTGTCTTCTCATTGGTCTTTCCATTCTCGACAGCTGTGCTGGGCTCTCTAATACGTCTTCCAGAAACTACTCCCTGCAAGAAAGGAGAGTTGTTACCTGAGTGGGATCTGGAGTCAGATGCCCTGAGTTTAAACCACCACCTCTACTGGCAAACTGGGTAGCTGCGGGGAAGTTGCTTAATCTCTCTGAACCTTAATTTTCCTTTTCTGTAAAATGGGAATAATAATGCTGGTTGTTCCTCACAGAGTCCTTGAGAGTTAGATGAGCTAATCCACCCAAGTGCTGAGCAGAGTGGCTGGCATTTAGTATGTGTTCAATGACTCTAAGTCATTGCTTTGAGGGGGCTTGGAATAAGAGGTCTCATGTCAGCTCGAGTGGTAGATAAAGAGCATTATCTTGCAGTCGGGGGAACTTATGCCTCAAACTCAGATCTTGGTGGCATTTCTAGGCCCCCATCCATGATTTTCAGCCAACCCTTGAGAGGCTGAGCTGATAAAAAGTGACGGTTTCTAGGTCAGCCTAGTATACGAAGCCTAAGATGATGAGGCAAAAGTCTTGGTTTTCATTTCTCTGAGACCAAATCCTTGCTGAAATTTTTATCCCATCTGGGCCAGGGTATTTGAGGGCAGGCATTTCTCTCTGCAAGGGCTTGGGGACCTCAAAGTTTGAAGTCATCTAATCCAGTGTCAGGCAGAATGGAATCTATCATCCCATCCCTGAGACCAAACTCTAATACCTTGTTCCTAACCGGCTGGGCCATACTAGCCCCAGCTCTCATCCTGTGCAATAGCACTCAGTGGCAGGCGAGATTGCAAGGCCAGGGCTCCTGAGTTGTCTTAGTTTCATTTAAAAATCACTAATTGGCTTTGGATTCTGATTCTGATTAGGAGGGAGGAAGTTTCAGGTTCTTAGGAACTGCCCACACCTGGAAGGGGGGACACCTGAGTTGTGGCATCTGCCCTAGTGCTGAAGTCCATGAACAAGACAATCTCTGAATTTCACTTTTGTCACCTTTTAAACAAAGAGGGTTGGATTTAGATGACAAAGTGTTCTCCAAATCTACCCTTCTGCAATCTTCTGGTTGTATAATTTCTCTTGGTAACTTTCAAAGCTTATTATTACTATGGATAGTTTTTTGTCTTTGTCCAGAAGTGAATTTTAACCTTATTTTTCCATAGAGATGAGTACAAGCTTAATTGGAAACTAAATTTAGTTTCAAGCATTGAGAACATCAAGAGTTATAACTGAATGGGAGACTTCAAGTTGCTTTGATGTTGGTGTCCTCCAACTGGGGACCTGGGAGAGGTAGTCAAACTTTCCTCTTGGCTTCTGCTTTTTCTGTATAGACTCATTCTTCTAAGGCTGAGACCTGTATAGTCCCACTGGTGTTGTGTGAGCCTGAGAGACAATGAGGTTTCCACGTCTTGGCATGAAGGTGATGGCCCTCCTTAGCCTAGACAGCCGTTTCAGAAGATGGCAGCCAGAGAGTGGGCGCATGGGTTCATTTCTGTCACAGAATCTAACTGCAGCCCCAATTAGCCATCCTGGTAGCACACAACGTTTCCAAGTCAACTATTTTGTAGGACACAGTGAAAGTCAGCCTTATCCAGGGTCATTCACAGCGCTTCTCAGTAACTATTTGTGGCTTTATTTAACCACTGCCATCCTCAGTTCCCTCATATTGAAAATGGGGATAATAATAACTGGTCAACCTACCTTAAAAGTTCCTCTGAGGATGAAGTGGGACATTGCATATAGAGCATGTCACAGACTAACTACTCACGGTGACCCTGAGCCACAAGCTGTTCTTCAGTGCTGGTCTCCTGACCAGGTGAGTCCACTCATCATTCAAAGAATGTCATGCCCCACAAACTGGGAGGTGGGTAGAGACATTTCTTTTGGGGTGAGGTGAGAAAAAATGATTGAGATTTATTCTAGCCCTCCCTTTTCCTATCCAGAGTGTCATCTCTCTTCCAGTTAAATACCCTTGCTCTGCTCTGTCATCACACTGCTCTGACATCACCCATGCAAGTCTGCCATTGAAAGGAAATGACCAGTGTGAATCCCCATTTCTCTTCCCCTCTGTGACTCAGATCTTTGTAAAATCCAGCAGCAGAACCAGTATCAGACAGGCACTCTCGTTCTCAGTCTCTGTCCATTTCTCATCTTCTGTCTCTGTCCCTTTCTCTGTGTCTCCCTCAATTCTCTCTTGAACCTCCTGCCTAATAATGTTTTAACTCTTAATCATTGTTCTCCAACACACTCTTTGAAAAACCACATCCACCGACCTTCTATACCCTTGACCCCCTCCCTGTGGAGAAGGTTAGGGCCTCAATCATTATGCTCAGTTCGTGAGGCCCAGAGCAGTCAAAGGGCTTTCCCACCCAAAGGGCTTCCCCTGCGGTGAGTCAAAGGGCTCACCGCAGATCAGGGGCAGAGATGGTGTCAGGGCTTTTGCTACGACAGCCCTGTGGTCACAGCCCATAGCCAAAGGAATTTTCTCCAGAGGAAGCATCTCTGGGCCTTAGCTTTGTTTTTTTTTTTTTTTTTTGAGACAGAGTCTCACTCTTTTGCCCGGGCTAGAGTGAGTGCTGTGGCGTCAGCCTAGCTCACAGCAACCTCACACTCCTGGGCTCAGGCGATCCTCCTGCCTCAGCCTCCCGAGTAGCTGGGACTACAGGCATGCACCACCATGCCCGGCTATTTTTTCTAGATATTTTTAGTTGTCCAATTAATTTCTTTCTATTTTTTAGTAGAGACGGGGTCTCGCTCTTGCTCAGGCTGGTCTCGAACTCCTGAGCTCAAACAATCCGCCCGCCTCGGCCTCCCAGAGAGCTAGGATTACAGGCGTGAGCCACCGCGCCCGGCCTTGGGCCTTAGCTTTGAATCATTCCCCTTCCCTGTACCCAATCCAGGTGCAAATATAGAGGGGCAGGTGTGCTCTTCACACAGGTGTTCTTACCACAGATGTGCTCCTCATCTCTTTCCGTCTTCTCTTGTTGTCCCGTGCTCACCTGGAACAGTCACAGACATGGCTCATTTGTCCGTTCATTCGTCACAGAGGAAAGGTGCTGGGGACATCAGTGAAAAGACATTGTCCCTGCCTTCAAGGATCTTAAAATCTGGTTGTGTGTCCTGTGTGTGTTCGCGGGAGCTGGGATGGGGCGGGGTGGGGGAAGAATACAAGTGAAATCAGTGGTAAGTCCCAGGAGTGACATCAGAATACTACAGAGGGCAGAGTTCGGGCACGCATTGTGTTCCTGAGTTAGAAGGACATTTGGAACCATTGGGTGTTTTCAGTTTCTGATTTTGGAAACTAAATGAAAGGAGGGGAGGGTAAATTATGACTGGGAGTGATTGTTGCCATCCTTGTGTTCTATGTCAGTGACATGACAGCTATAGGTTTAATCATTTTCTAGGGAATTTAGGGACTACAAGAGACTTGGGTAAACTTTGAAGATCAGAATATTTACTCAGTGACTTAGCGAACTGCCTTAGTGGGAACTGGCCTAGGGAACAAATGAGAAGGCACTTGGAAAATCTCAGGTTTCTCTGGCTCAGAAATACATTTTGCAAACTGATCTAAGAGCTTTCAGCTCTGCTTTCACAAAGCCAACTGTCTACTTGCTTGTCTAAATACGACCTTCGTGCTGGAGAGGCTGGGACACTCCCCTCCAACTCCTGATGTACTTGCCCCCTCCAAATCTGAGGCTTTTCCCAAAATAAAGTGATCATGCCAAATTCTAACATTATTTAATGCAATTAAGCAGTCCGTGATACAGTTTGCCTGATCGCACAAGCACCTGAACACAACTGCACATCTCCCCTCGTCATGACTTCCCATCCTCTCCTGCTTTTCTACCTGTGCTTCACCACGCACGTCAAACTCCACCTTTTGTGTCTTCCGCCCTGGCCGCTCCAGGTACCTGTGTTCCCTCCCTGCGGCACCAGACACGGAGGAAGGGCAGAGAGAGAGGCTGGTTGAGTAACTTGTCTCTGGCAAAGGACCTTGAGAAGAGTTTTGCCTCGTACTCAATCCAAAGCTGCTTCCGTTTCTGCAGGAACTCTCCTGCCACCGCCCCAAAGCCTTCAGTAACGTTTACTCCATGGGCTTTATGTGATTAATTATTTTGTGGGTAGAAATCAGCAGACTCCCATAGCAGACACCAGAGCAGAAATGAACAAACAGCCTCAAGATTCAGAGCAGAGAACAAGAATTTAGCTGAAGCAAGAAGTCCTTGTCAAAGATGAAAATGAGAGTGTTTGGGGAATACGTAGAACTCTGGGTAGGCCATTGGAACTTTCCACACAGTTTGGAACGGGGGTTGAAAAGTTAACCCAAAATTCATAACAGCTGAAATCTGGGGTTAAAAAAGTCATATGGTTATTGGAGAAAGTAAAACCTATAAAATGCTATAATCTTAAAACTCCAAGGGATCTCCTAATCTATCTAGTCCAATGCCTCCCCAAACTGATACTTTTTGAAATTATCTAGGGGACTCTTTAAAAGAAAAAGCAAATTTCTTACAGCTTGTGACTCGCATCTGTATTTTTAATAGGCATCTCCCTTCCCCTGGGTGCTCCTAATGCAGCATCTCCACGGATCTGACTCGGGAACCGGTTTTCTTAGCCTACCCCTGCATCATACAGATGAAGAAAGGCAGATGGTTCAGCACCCAGGAGGGTCCCGGGCAGCTTGTACTGGGGAGACAATAAGGGCACATGCGGGACAAGAGTTCGAAGACCATGTTCATGACCTTAGACATCTCCTGAACGACCCTATTGCAGATGGTGCAGAGGAGAGTGAAGGATTAGAGGATTCAGCTCAGGTAAATACAGAGTTTTTACTTTTTAACTTGTTCTGAGGTTAGAATTCCTTGTACATCCTCAGAAACATCTCTGACCTTTGCCGAATATACATTTGGGGAGCGTTTGCTGCCTTCTGCGGTGTATTTTGTTCTCTTCAGCAGTCCTAGCACTGGTAGGGAAAGAGGAAGGATGCAGCCCTGAGTAAGAATGTGCGTGTCCGCAGCTGGCGAAGGGGCCGACTGCGTCTCCCAAACCTACTCCATTTGAAACGCAGAACATCCTTCAAGTCCTGAAAGTGTTAGGTTATTCCTTCTAGATCCCGCGCCCCTTCCTTGTACCTAGGAGAACATAGGCGCTCACTCCGCAAGGTGTTTAGACAACAGCTGCAGGCACTGAGCGCTTCCCAGCGCTCTCAGCTCCCGACCCCAGCCAGAGTCCAGGCTCAGACTCACCTTTCCCGGTGGCAGGCTCTGAAGTCAGCCCTGAGAAGCCCAGACCTGCTGTTTTCCCTTCACTTGTGAGGGCAAGAGGCTCTTTCCACCCAGCACATGGGGGAAGTCACTGAGCCAGGCAGATGGCAGAGCTCAGGAAGCTGCGGGGTGGGGCAGTGATACTGACTTAAGGAGACAGAAGCACTCACCGGTGAGACGGCCGCATGCGACGTTTCCACTACAAATCCCACCCTGCTTTGGACTAAGCCGATGCTTTCAGGAGGACCCTATGCCACTGACGTCTTGTCCCCACAGGGGCTGTAACCTAAGAGGGGAAGAACATTTTTAGGTCTCTGAAGCCTGTCTTCCAGCCTCTGACCACTGCTAATCTTATCCCTGGCCACTTTCACTTTTGGGTATTTTCTTTTTTTTTTTTTTTTTTAAGATTTGCTTAAAAATCTTTTATCATTATGGCATTACACCTTTTCCAGAACAAGTATAATTTACAGAAATTATACAAGGCAACCTTTTATCAAATATCAATATTTAGAATGTTTTGTTTTGCTGAAATGTTATTTCAGTTGTAAAAACCATCTCTGGTTACAAAAAAATATCAAACTTTATCGGATTTAACGTGTTTTTACAAATGTCCTAGGAAACCTTAAGCTGAATATTTTAAGTAGAAAAACAGTAATTTTAGAATAGTTTTGTTATACTACTTCTGTAGTTTATGCACATGTTAACTGGTCTCTTTTATAGGAAATCTTACTAGTTTATCCCACTAAGCACTGTAAAATAAAGGCAAGAGCTAATCACCTTTTAACAAAAATACTCTGTATGCAACAAATGCACATATCAAAGACGTTACTTAGTGGTTGATCATTGCCTCCTACAAAATATGAAACAAAGTACATTTACTGGATTGTTTTTCAGTTTGCAGCTGCCCTCTGGCATCCAAAATAAACATTTCCCATAAATAAAAGCTGCAGTGCAATTCACTAAGTGGTTAGTTTAGGCCAATCCTCCCCCCACCCCAATTATTCTTTGTTCTTCCTCACCGCCCCCACCTCTCACAGTGGCACCGTATTATTAAAAACATTAAGTACCTGGAGTTTATGCTTCAGATCAAGACATCACTTGAGTAATTTCGAATGATGTACAGCTCTTCATGTAAAAAAGATGTTTTGTGGTCACAATTACTTCAAAAAGTAATTATATTCAAATAACCTGACATATCATGCCTTAGCAATTACAAAACCATGATTTTGACACACGGCAATTTATAAGTTAGGCAAATGTGAATTGCTAAAAGATGTGAACAGCTGTTCTTCTGTTTAAGTTTAGAGTGCTGCAAAACTCAGGTAATGACTTTATTTTTTCAGTTAACATAACCAGCCCCCGGCACAGCATACTAAATCACAAAGTACGAATCCAAGGAAGGTAATACCTACTAAGTCACAAAACTTTGGCAAATCAATACAGTACTCTTTAATACAATAAAATTTTATTTTTGTTGGAGTCATATATTACTTTAGAGGTAATTTTCACTCCAAAAATATTTAAGTACAAAACCAAAACACTGGTTTTTAATGGTGGTTTATAGCAGAGCAAGTTATTTTATACAAATTAATATCTTTTAAAAGTATATAATTTCTCCTTTTAAGGTGAGTTCTCTCATGCAAGCTGTTGAAGTTACAGCAGCAGAGCAATCTTGTGTAAGAGGTGGCTCTGCTTTCTTCTGGGGTTGGTCCAAAGCCAGGTAGAGTTCTAATGCACGAAAAGTTTTAAAATTCTACCTTAAGGAAATTCAATGTCAATACCAATTTCCAAGTACTTTTAAGAAAACTTAAATTTTCATATAAATACTTGAAACCTTTAAACTAGACAGCCATTTCAAACAACACTAATTTCAGGTGATCCCTTTTATTTAGAAGCCCTGTATCTCTGTTTTGATCAAAAGTCACATAGTCTTAAATCAGCTTATTAAAAAAAATTCTACCTAAAATATAGTTGTATTTTTTAAATAACAAATAAATATATTGCCAGCTTGGAGAGACCTGGGGGACCCAACGTTGTCTACCAACTTGTAGTATCATTTTTCTACAAATGCTGCCGCTGCCATTGGAATCCTTATGCTTCTTCTTGCTGAAGCCGTCAGTTCTTCAATCTCGGCATTTAATTTATGTATTACCCATTCCATTGCTTCTCAGCCTTTATTGGCATTTGGAGATATGGTACTTGCCATCAGTCCTTCAAGGTAACTGGTAAGGCTGACTCCTTTCACAGTGATAATGGCTTCTTGAGTCAAAATAGTTTTTTCTGGGTCCTGAGGATGTGGTTTGTAGATAAGTCTCTCATCTACTGAAACCATATTTGTAAAGGAAATATTAGTAGATTTAAGTTCCATTGTTTTCTCTACAGGATCAACTACAGAATGTTCTTGCACATATGTTTTGGTTCTTACTGCACCAGTAAGAGTCTTCACAATGGAAGGCAGTCCCCACTCTGTGCTGAGAAGTCTATGGCTGTGCAACTTTCCAGAGGGATCTATATGTCTGTCCAATACATCAACTCCAACCACACTCGGGTTCATAGGGTTTGGGTATTTCTGCATTGCAGCTGTGGTAACAGTTTCCCAAAGGTGGTCAAAGACATGCTCCGAAGTCCAGATCTTCATGGTGCGAGCGGCCCGTGCGATATCCGGGCAGCGCTCTCGCTTTTGGGTATTTTCTATGCAATGGTCTTCTGAGTGTCTCCTTTCTCAGGACAGGAATTCTCAGAGGAATCCCTGCCTGGACTTTGGTCTGGAAAATGCCACCAATGGAGTCTTCCCTGCCAGGCACTCATTCTCAAAGAAAAGAGAGGCTTTCCAGCTATTAGAAATAGGACAACAGGCAGAGAGGACTTTCAAAAATGGAAATCTTTACACCACCAGGCTTAGTCTAGCCGTCTCTGCTGGTATCTGCTTCTCCTCTCAGGAGAGTTACGAGAAAGGTGGGTGAAATAGCCGATCGCTGCATAAAGAGGAGGCTACAACAGGTTATGGCGATGTAGGGCCTGGACTTGTTAGCTCATTAACCAGCTACGTGATCTTGTCTACTTCACTTAAACTTTCTGAAGTTGACTATTCCTGTACGTAGTGAGGGGGTTAACTTAATCTCAAGCTAATCAGCTGTGGTCTGATTTTCACCCATTCTTGTCAGGGAAGATCCTCGACTCCCACCGTCCTCCCCCTTGTTTTTGCTTTTTGGTCACTGTTGTGTGTATATATATGATTTAATTTTTTAGAGGAGTTTTAGGTTCACAGCCAAATTGAGAAGAAAGCACAGAGACATTCCATATACCCTCTGCCCCACACGTGCACAGCCTCCTTCATTATCAACAACCCCCACCAGAGCAGTAGATTTGTTACAATAGACGAGTCTACGTTGACACATCATTATCACCCACAGTCCGTAGTTTACATTGGGGTTCACTCTTGGTATTGTACATTCTACGAGTTTGGGCAAATGTATAATAACATTTGTATAATAACAAATGTATAATAACATAATATAATGGTGTAACCACCATTATATTAATAGTATCACACAAAATATTTTCACTGCCCTAAAAATCCTCGGTGCTCCATCTATTCATCCCTTTCTTCCCCAAGCCTCTGGCAACCACTAATATCAATGTTTTTACTGTCTCCATGGTTTTGGATTTTCCAGAATGTCATATAGTTGGAATCATATAGCACATAGCCTTATGATGACTAAGATTCACTTAGTAATATGCATTTAAGTTTCCTCCACGTATTTTCGTGACTTGATAGCACATTTCTTCTTAGTGATAAATAATGTTCCATTGTCTGGATGTACCACAGTTTATTTATCCACTCACCTGCTGAAGAACATCTTGGTTGCTTCCAAGTTTTGGCAATTATGAATAAAGCTGCTATGAACAGCGGTGTGCAGGTTTTTATGGGGACACAGTCTTCAGCTCCTTTGGTGTATAGCAGTATCTCATTATTGTTTTCGTCTGTATTGACCTGATGACACATCACGTGGAGCATCTTTTCATATACGTATTTGCCATCAGTCTGTCTGCTTCGGTGAGGTGTCTGTGAATTTCAGGAGTTCTTCGTATATTTTGAGTTAACAGTCCTTTATCAGATAGGTCTTTTGCAAATATTTTCTCCCAGTCTGTGGCTTGTCTTTTCATACCCTTGACAATGTGTTTCACAGAGCAGAAATTTTTAATTTTAATGAAGTTCAACTTACCAACTTTCTTTCATGCATTGTGCCTTTGGCATTGTATCTAAAAAGTCATTGCCAAACTCATGGTCATCTAGGTTTTCTCCTGTGTTATCTTCTAGGAGTTTTATGGTTTTGCATTGAAATTTAGGTCTGTGATCCATTTTTGAGTTAATTTTTGTGACGAGAATAAGGTCTATGTCTAGATTCTTTTTTTTTTTTTTTTTAATGTGGATGTCCAACTGTTGTTCCGGGAACATTTGTTGAAAAGACTACCTTTTCTCCATTGTATTGCTTTTGCTCTTTTGTCAAACATCAGTTAACTATATTTATGTGAGTCTATATCTGTGCTCTCTTTTCTGTTCCACTGATCTATTTGTCTATTCTTTCACCAATACAATACTATATTTACTATAGCTTTTTTTTTTTTAAAGACATTACCAGCAGACTACTATAGCTTTATAGTAAGTATTGAAGTTGGGTAGTGTCAGTCTTCCAACTTTGTTCTTCTCCTTCGATATTGCATTGGCTATTCTGGGCCTTTCACCTCTCCATATAAACTATAGAACTAGTTTGTCCATAATCACACAATAACTTGCTGGGATTGCATTGAATCTGCAGATCAATTGGGAAGAACTGACATCTTGACAATATTGTGTCTTCCTGTCATGAACATGTAATATCTCTCTATTTGGTTCTTTTTTTTTTATTTCACCCATCAAAGTTTTGCAGTTTTCTTCATATAGATCTTGTACATATTATGTTAGATTTATTCCTAAGAATTTCATTTTGGGACTTGGTAATGTAAATGGCATTGTGTTTTTAATTTCAAATTCTACTTGTTCATTGCTGGTATATAAGA